GGGTACAGGAAGAGCAGGGAAATAGTCTCTTTGCCTTCATCTTTTATGTACAGACAAATGTTTGAGATAACTGGTAGACATCTGAACTCTGTATTTCTTGTGCCATTGCTGATAAAATTGTCATCTTAGTTACTTGTATAATATATGGCAATAACTAAAACTTCTCAACGTTTTGGAAGGTAGTAATACTGCCTTGAGTACAACATGTTTTGAGTTTGTTGCAAGTATGAAGAAAGTAATAATTTAGTAAATTCACAGACTATCTTGATAGTCGTGTAGCTGTCCTGCTACTGCTGTGTTCCTGAGCTACAGTTTTAATGGCACTTAACAGAAGTAGATGTTTAGTTGTTTCTAAGAGTGGACTTTACTCTTCCACTTCGTTGTACGGCTTATGAAATACTAGCCTCAGGCTTGACAGAGCACACAAGAAGTATTGAGTTACATGACTGGTGAGGAACTCATTGTATGCAATTTCATTCATTTATTTTCTACTTGCTCTGCAATGAGGGCTAGCCACAATGTTGTACATGTTTATGTAAATGTAGTTTATGTAAATTGTAATAGTTGTTTTTACAGTTTTGTTGCCATATGTGAGGCCTGTGAGTTTTACTGGAGAGGACAGTATCATATAATTTCAAACTAATAAAAATAGAGAACTCGTTTTTCATGGTTTTCATCTTGTAGATTTCTGCACTTGTTTTGGAGGTTCTTGTGGAATCACTAAATGGAAATAATTTAAATGTGCATTTTGTGCAGTTTTATGAAATCTTGTACATGAATATAATAAAATATTCTAATATGTTCATTTTTCAACTAGAAACGTCTGAAAGCAGCTGAAGCAGAAAGTAAATTGAAACAAGTATACATCCCCACCTAGTGAGTATAACAATAAAGCCATTTTTTTGAATAATGTACAGGTAAAATTGAAACAATTACATGCAGTAACATGCATGGTATTTTCTTAGTCGTCTTTTTAATAGTTACTTTCTAAATATTTGTTACATACAAGCAGAATATACAGAGTGATAATTAGAAGATGACTCAAACTCTTGTCATAAGTGAAACCTTTGTACTTAACTGATCGCATTGTCTTTGACCTGCAAACTGCCTATTTTGGAGTTGTGAATTTTACAGAAGGTGATCAAGTGCTATGTGGACTGCTCACATGCAAGAAGGGCCTTATCTTTTAAAAAGCAGTTTTTCCAGAATGATCACTTCCGAATCCCTGTAGCACAACACTTCGTATTTGTGTAAATGCAGTATTTCAAAATAGAAGCAGTTGTTAATGTGGTTACATAAAATAAAATCAGATATTTTCCCATTACAGTTTTATCTTGCTGATACAGTCTGTTCTTCAGCTAGAGACAAGAGGTGTTCTGGCTGTAAATTAAAGGTAGCACACAGCCCAAAATCTTTTATCTTTGAAAAAGTCTTATTAATGAAATCTGTTTTCTTCTGATGGGTTTTTAACCTGTTTGTTTTTTTTTTAATTTAAACTCGATGCTGTATCTGCTTTTGTTAACATGTAGTTTACAGAAACAGGATATAATCTGTCTCCTTCACATTCATAATTTCCTCAAGATTATGAGAAGAGAAGGGGTTGCAGCTGACATTCCTTTAAGCTTTCTTTGGGTATATTCAGTTTACATATATGTGAATTTCCCATTGTTCTGGGTGTTTGTATAATGAAACACTAGAATACCAAATGAAATACTTTGAAAATCCACTGTTGTCTTTTTGATGACTTGTATAAATTGCATACAATATAGCTTCATTTCCATATTTCATACAGACTTTTCTCTCTTAAACAGATTTAATAATACAAACAGCAGACTGTTAAATTAATTCTTTCAATCTCATCTCTGAAGAAATGTTGTGAGTTTTGAAGCTCAAATCTCTAATAAATTACACCTTTTAAAAAAAGCTGAAAACTAGTATGAGTGTTCCCTAACCCTCTCAGGGAAGTGGCTGCTTTAGGAAAACTGTAAGATATTCAATCTTTACATAATGCGTTTTCAATTTAATTTCCTTGGTCCATGTGGACAACTCAGGACTTTTGCCAGTCTGTTCACAGTAGGGACTATTTGTATTGCATGACAAAACCTGTTTTAAAATGTAGAATTTCTGCGTTTATCTTTCTTACTGTATGTCTCTTGCCTCCATGTCAAGACAAAATCCTTAGTCAATGGTAAGAGGGTGGTAGGACTTCTTAAGTCTTTGATAACTGTGCAATCTGGGGCACTCATGGGCAAATGGGTTGCTAACGCTCTGTTTCAAGACTGATTTATTGTATTTGAAATCTGAGTAGAATTGATCCTCAGAGCTGAATACGTTTTTGAACTTTGATCATAAGGTATTTCCTGTAAAAAAAAAAAAAAAAGCACGGTTCTGTCCTCAATACCAGAGAGTCCCTTTCAGTTCATGGCTTCTCTGGAAGGTAACTAAGCAACAGATCATAATGTGGGAGAATTAAAGCCCTTCTCTTGTACTTTGAGATCAAGGTACTTGATAGAGAGTATCTGGAAATTGTAAAAATCTCTCACTGGCTATAGTGAAAAAGGAGAAGGCAGGAGACAGACTTCCTGGTATTTGGAGGAGAGACTTGATAAAGCAAAGGTTTCTTCAATTAATCATTTTAACTAATCTTGAATATATTTTATGCTACCTAAAGTAATGAATAATCATCTTAGGAGTCAGTGTATCCCATCTTGCATTGTATGAGTATAGTTTGTCAAAGGGGTAATTAATACCCAGAAAGTTGGAGGTTTGTAAATACTATACTTAACCTAGTGAGGAGTATATTAATTCTCTTTGAAGTAGCTGACCTGTAAAGTCTTACTTCACTGAAGTATTAGTAGGTAAAATAATCACAATAATAATATAATAATACAACAAAAAAAAAAGCCAAAACCAGTTCTTCAGCCTTCTCAGAGAGAAAGTCCTTTAGGACAGAACCCAGACAGAACAGCCTGATATTATATGGGCAGGCTTTGTCAGGGTTATAGGACATTCACATTTACTGCAGTTGGTGGGAAGGTGTGTACTTCTGCTTGAGACAGGAGGCAGCAGACCCTCTTCTAGGGTGGACAGCCCTGTAGTAGTACAGACAGTGTTAGTACTCTTACTTGTTATACTTACCCAAAGTCCAGCCTCACCTTGGAAAGCCTTATCTGTTGACCAGAACCCCCTTCTTAAAATCTCTGCTGTGTCAGGATTTTGTTAATGCTTGACCCTGAGACTTGGTCTTTTACTAGCTTGTCAAATAGCTTAAACCATGTGAGAGCATTTTACAAAGATCTGTAAATTTCAGTGTCAAGGCAGGTCTTTACATAGCAAGTCTCTTACAGTGGTGATAATACTAGAGGATTACAAAAATTATTGTTTAGAGCAGATTTTACAGATGTTGTCACCACACATCAGAATTCCAGAATTAGATTGTTTGTTTTCATGTTGACTAACCAGTTAGTAAAATAACTTTTTTTTTTTTAATTTAAAGCAATAAACCAAATCCCAATCAAATACCCAGCAACAATGGGAAACCTGCTGCAGTCAATGGAGCGATGGGAGCATCTTATCAGGCACAAGCATCACTAATAGGTCGGGCTTGTGAAAGCTGCTATAGTAAGTAAATTATTTTTTTTTCTTTTTAATAATTCAGGAGTTTGGGCTAATCTTAATATGCACTGTTTTTTTAAACACAAATGTATGTACTTTTGTTGGCGTGCTGTAGAGGATAATTTTCAATGACTTGTGTTGCAGAAATAAGTTTTTAAATTAGAACTGCCTTCAGTATATTGATTAAATGTCAATGTTCAAATCTGCTTCATGATTATTTTTTTTTTAACAATTCAGAAAGTGTAGAAAGACAAAGTAGTATAATATGATGGCACTGATATGTTATTCCTTTACCTGCAGAGTACTAGATTCAAATTTATTTTTGGTTCTCCTGTAAGGCTGTAGGGTTTTTGAGTTGGTTTTCGGTTTAGGTTTTTGGGGTTTTTTGGTGTTTGGGTTCTTCCCTGTTGTTGTTGTGGAGCCGGGGGGAGGGCATGTTGGTTTTTTTTCTAGTATTTTGTGCATTTCTGATGGTCCTTGTTGGACTTATTGAAATAGCAGCCTTCAACATAGGTTATGTAAGAGTAGATATAATAAAATGCAGAAATTGAAAGAATTGAAATGGCCTACCATATGAGAGTTCTTCACTTACTGCTGTGGCTGCCTGTCTCTTAAACACCAATTAAATTAATACCATATTTTGTATTTAGAAAGTTCCAGTTATATACTTTTTTGGTTTTTAAATCACATTTTTTAAAGAACAGTTTTCTTGTGAAAGATGATGAAAAGAAAATAAAAAAGGTTAAATTAGCG